CTGTAGAGCTAGAGCTTCTAAGCTGTGAAAGGAAGGTCCAAAAGAGCCGTCATATCATACTACATATGTAGTATGAGCCAGTGGGCGGAAGAGAGCCGTCTGTTCCGTCACATCAGGTTGTATACTCAATGTAGTGTTTTTTAGCAATAGCTTCAAGTGTAGCAAATAGATTTCGAAAAAAACGTTAAATAGTAGAGTTGGTGTTTTTTGTATTGAATAGATTGATTAGTAAGGTTGGGTTATAGAGAGGGATATCGAAAATAAATATATTAGTAATATAGAGTTGGTTTTGGAATATTTGATAAATATATATGATCAAGGTTTTATATATTTTGGTTTTAAAAGCAGATGTATTGGTATTGATAATAAATATATTAGGGTTGATATTATTAGATATAATCAATGAATTTGTTATATTGACTATTGTAATAATTCAAGTCCAAATTGGAATCAAAATGATCAAGTTAAAATTGTTATATACAAGTAAATATGATCAAAGCTGGGTTGTTATCGATAATAAAGTCTTTTGAAGAATCGAATATATTATTACAGGGCTGGTGTAGGTTCTGGTGGGTATTAGGTAAGATATATGATATTTGATAAGGAGAGAAGGAGGCGTGCGGAGCGACGACGACTATATAGTGGATGGATGCCTAAGGCATCCATCCGAGCTAGCTAGGAACGGGTATTGAACCCGTGACATTATTGATATTTATTGACTAAACTAATTAGACTGCAATCCAAACAAACTAAACTAGTTCTAATTATACAATTAAGATATCTTTATTATATAATCAAATGATATTATAATCACATGAATATTATATTAAACAATCAAGGTTTTGATCATATATATATTATAAATAGTTCAAAAATCCAAACAACAATCTAGACTTTTTAATTTTAGATTAGTTAAACTATCTCTTCTATTTCAAATTCACCCTAATAATCTATTTAGTCCAATTAAAACATAGACTAGCTGTCTAGACTGCTGTCCGGACGGAAGACTGCAAGACTATTGGACACACTGCTGATACCTGTCAGCCTCCAAGGATCAGAGGGTCACCGGTGTCCACGACATAAGATCTTACAAGGCCAATCAATTGTTGTCACGGTAATCTAAAGCTGTAAATGAACTCAATAAATTTCTATCCAAGTGCACATCTTTCTCTTTTCTATATCCGCTCCCCTATATATCCTTAAGCGACAGTTATTTCCAGTGTGCATTTGAAGTTTTGCGTGTCGACTGCAATCGCAATCACGGTGCACTATTTCCTCGCCTTGCCGATACAGACAAGTCTATCTATACTCCTATAAATAATCTCTGTTTGGTTGTTGTCGCTCCGCATTCCACCTGCTAATTGGCTCTTATTCAATAGTTTAATTGTTCCGAAGCAAATTCATGGGGCCCGTTTTGTCCTACCAAGGGCAAATATATGGTCCCGTTTCGGCTAATACGGGTACCATATCATTATTGCTATATTGCCACGCCTACCTTTCCCTTTTTTTTGAATTTTCAATGTTCTGAAGATGGTGATTATATTCGGGGGTTCGAGGCCAGGATAGACAATTGATTACTTACATTTTATGTTCTTCTATCAATCTGTATATCAATCTCCTCCAGATTGCTGGCATGTAGTAGCTGGGCTACATTATTTATCGCTTTCCTCATCCCCTTTTCTCATGTATTGTGACGTCAATTGGACGAGCCCATGTAGGTTATCTGTTGGCTTTAGCGATAACGTGGGGGCTCGTACCCTCGCTACTAATGTAGCAACTTCAGGGGGAGAAGCAGCTTTAACAATTCAAACATGCGATTCTACATGTCAAAGTTGGGTCCGTACTTTCTGGATACTCAGAAAATGTTGTAAGTTGTAAGCCATCATTAACTGCCAATAGCGGGAAAGTAGCTTCTGATGGCGAGGTTGGTTGTAACATGCCTTGTGATGACAACACTAACCGCTAATCTTCACCAAGGTACCCCATCAACCATCCATATCTCCCTCGTGGCCACCGTAGGCGCGACTCATGGAAATTATTTCGGCCAACAAAACTTCCTCCCAGCCTTCTCCTGCTCTAGCACTAGCACAACGGCAAATTCACAGTGTACGACCACGACACCACCTAATGTATATGTATACCCGCCTAATTGGGCCATACTTCTTGCATTAGACATTGAGACGCCTAGTGAGGAACATTGAGCGAGGATTAGATGTAATTCAGCGAGGTTGAGCGAGTGGCCGAATTTTCCAGATGTCACGCTTTCGAGGGTGTGGGAGCTGGTGGCGTGGTGAATGCAATGTTTTAATATGACGGCGGCGGGGAATGTCGCGAGAAGGGGACGAGGTATTGAAAGATAAGTGATGAGTGGGAGGATTCGCCATGTTTTGTAGCGTTGAACTTTTGTGGGCGTTGACATGTCAGCGAGCGGGCGGATTGCGACGGAGCATGGAGGCCACAGGAACAACTTCAGATATCAACATGAGAGTCAAACCACCAATACAAACTCCAACATATATATTGATTATTCTAGTCCCATTTGGAAGCGGTGAAAGGTATTGAGCAACATAATGAATGTATCTAATTTGTAATTGACTTCAATCCTATAACAGTTAACAACAAGCAGAGGCCTCGAATGAAGGATCGGAAGTGAATGAGTAAGAGCAAGAGGAAATCCAGAAAATACACAGACTCGATGTGACCAATATGGAATCGGCATTCCCGATGTTCAGATTAGATCAGATGTATGAAACAATATGCTTCGGAACTTTTGCACCATGATCATTGAACATCTTCCATGAACTCAAAATCAAACTCACGATTTAGTGTTCTAATGGATGTCATACGTGTACAACTCTTTCCATTTCCTATATAAGCAGACAGACGAGCACCATTTCCCATCCAGTTCCGCACATTGTATACCCCCGACTCTAATGATATCAATATACCTCAGACTAACAAACGCCCCAAGGAAGGTTCCATAATTCTCAGCCGAAACTTGTACTCCAGGCCGATCATCTCCAGGAAACATTAATCTTCAGCTATACTCCCTCTCGGACTTTCCTGCCTTGATGCATCATTCGCACCAGTCCCAGCACTAATCTGTACACTCGGTCTCCTCCCAAGAACTGGCATACTACTTCCCAATCCCTGCATCCTCTCCAACCTCGTCGGCGTTGGACTACCATCCCTCCCGTTTTTCGCCAAGACTCCCGGCGGCAGTCCTAATATCGGAATATTCGAATCGAGAAACACAGTCGGGAATGGGCTTCTAAGCGTCGGTGGCGTCGCATGGGGCGGTGTCACTTTTTCAAATATTTCTTTGTAGAAACGTTCTAATTTCCCGCTATTGTGACAGAACTCTTCGAGTTCAATTTTGATGGTGTCGGGGCCAATGCTGCCAATAGAAGCTAGTTTGGAATTAGGAAGAGAAGGACCTAATACATCAGCTGTCGACCGCAAGGCAGGAGAGGAGGAGTGGGTCGCACGGAGAAGAGGAGATGGGGCACGAGCCGCGCGTAAGATTGGTGATTGAAATGGACTCGATGTGCCTGCAGCAAGGCCGGGATTATTTATAATTGCACTGGGTCCCATACGATTGGCACCGGGATGATCCACTTTCATATATTTGTCTGTGTCTCTGGCTGATGCGGTCCTATTATTGTATAGTCGATTCGCTAGAAGAAGGAAATTGCCTTCATCTGTAATCTGCGCAAGTACTACTCCGGATCTATGAATGAACTGGGTATAGGTGTAGTCTGGCCGTCCCCATGAGAAAGTCACATCAACGTTGCTCGGAAAATTCTTCGCAGCCTCAATGTCTAGAACAAAATTGAACTTTTTCATGAGCGCTTTTTGGTAATAATGTTTATTAGACTGAGTAATTTGTGCTTGTGGAGTAAATGAATTAACATCGAAATATGTTCGAGGCTGCTGATCTGGAGGCTGCAAAGATAATTCGATCAAGTAAGGGCTTCTGAATGGCTGAACTAAAGCAATAGAACATGCTTCACCAATTGGTGCTTCAACGAGTCGTAGGCCATGTTGTTCGGCAGTTGTTGCCCACGTATGTATAGCATATTCAATCAACTTAGCTGTGACGTTGAGCCAATCTATCCGAATGTGGTAACAACTGTCAGGATTATGAAGACGATCATAGTGAAGATTAATGAGTTCGGGACGATAGGAGCGTTTCCGATGGTCAACATCATACTTCATAACTTTACTTAAAGAGACCTTAGGCCTCTTTCCCCCGTTCGTTGTTGGGGTTGGCACACCTGAGTCGTTTGCACTATCGTCTTGCGTAGAGCTGGACTTTGCCCTGTCTGGTCGTGGAGGGTCTTTAGGCATGACATCTGACATCGGAGTCGAAGGCACAGAATTCTCACGACGTCGAGACCCGAACCAGCCACTACGGCTATCTGGACGCTGTTTGGCAAATTCCCCAGTAACTTGATAGAAGTACTGTCCGTCTCGGAAAGGATGGCGCTTCTCAACATGGACAAATATTCCTACATCTCTATCTCTCTCTTTGCCTATATCCTTCTCTCTCAGCCTTTGGGTCTCGTCAACCATAAGCAAATTTCCCAGCTCAACTGCCTGATCACGGTCTTCAACGTCCTCAAAATTTTCGAGCAACCAGGTCGTCATATCCGAACCAATAAAACAGTTGTAATGCAAGCGAAAATGCCATCTTCTATTTTGCATGCGAACACCACCCTTTTCAACAGGAACTTGGATAGCCTCCGCCAAGGCGGCAATATCGAGTTTTGATTTTCGAAAACGATCTGAATCAAGTAATTGCCCACGTCTACTTGCACTTTCACTGGTCTCAACGAGAGGTAAAGACTCGAGTTCTGCGCTTACAACGACGGATGGATCTTCGGTCTTGTACACAATGTCAAGAGGATTCGAATCTTTTACTCTTCTAGAAGCAAGACTCTGAAAACGTCGCTCTGAAGGCGGAACATATCTGTGGCTTTGCCACATTTGTGTGAGCTTCCTGATACCTTCTAGCCGGACTTCCTCTTCATTGTCCTCACCTCTCATATGGTCACGTCGCGATTGCGTTGGGCGTGCCACAGGTATCAAAACGAACCTTGCGCGCCAGAATCGGAGCTGTTCTGTCATGTCGTCTTCGAACCCCGCAATGAAAGAGTCAACGTAATTCCAATTATATTCATCTTTTGATCGTCCCAATGTGATTTTGCGCGATTCGTACGCGTCGCCTAGGGTCGTTCGAATTGCTGGATAGTACCCGGATGGATTTAACGTTCCTGAGCTAGGTGTAGTCAAAGCTGTCGGCTTTCGGACGAACATATTAACTTCAATCTCGGTGCCATTCACGCATGATAATTGGTGGATTATGTTTCCCATTGACATGAATACACTGGCTCCATCCTCAGTAATACGATCACGGTCGAAAACATTCGCGATCTTCAGGGACTTTTGTCCAAATGCCTCAGCCACCCCTGGACCAATAACGATCTGAAACCCCCGGGAAAGTCGTAAGCCAATTAACTCCCTCAAGAAGTCCTCCCTAGTATTTGGATCTTCGCTGGTTTCATCCTCGGAGTTTTGGGAGATATTGTATGGCTTTTGTTGATATTCAGTTTCAAGTTGAAACTTTGTAGGAAATGACTCGGTCGTTAATGGGACAGATGCAGGAGAACAGAGCGATTTCCACTTCATTGTTCTGGTGAGGATTGGCTTGGGAAAAACATGCTGCCATCTTCTGTAGACTGTTTTTCCCATTGTGTCATTTTCTGCTGGGTTGGAGGGATTCAGCGCACTTAGCCATGGCGACAAAGCAGTAGTCGGAGATAAAGTCGCTGGTAATTCTGGGACCGCTTCAGCGAGAAGCTTCGAATTGAAGACTTTTTGATCGTCATTAGTTCTCAGCAGCTGCAAATTCCTGTGTTCATCTTCGTTGCCCTTCATCCCTTCGTAGAAAGAGCTCAAGACAGATCTAGATTTAAATTGGTTTGTGGAATCCAAAGACTGAAGTGCGCTTTTGATGGTCATGGGGCGTACCGAAGGGCTGTTCTCAACCTCCGGTTCACTTGTTCGCTTGCTTTCGATGGAAATGTTATCGGACCTCATCCTCGATCTTTCACTGTTTGACGACGGCGGTCGATCTGGATGGACTGGGGCGCCAAGCAAATGATTTGCCATGGTGAAAGTATTTTTCTTATTTGGATCAAACCCTTTTGATGAAGTAGAAACTGGTCTCGCGGCACTAGCATTCTCGGTATGTAATTCAGCTGCGACGCCCTTAGGTGCAGCGATACCAAAACCGTGCTTGCCTAGACTTATGTGACGACTCAATTTTGCAGGTCGTACAGTTGACACTTTTGCTGCAGTCATGGCGCTACTTACACTGCTCTTGCGCGGTAGCACCGGATCATGCCTTTGCGGATTTTGCTTTTCTCTGTCAATCTTTCCCCCAGCGAGCAGGTCTATGCTTCTAGATGTAGTATCATCGGTGAAAGAGGTACCAAGAATTTTAGAATCATTCGCAAGGACTTTTCTCACAGTTTCATCACTTCCTGATTTAAAGGACGTCTTAGTACTTTTTTGCCGTGAGCCTATGAAATTTTCCACTATTTCAGAATGGCTGGTGTCATATGTTTCAAGTGCCTTTAGGGATTTCTTTTCAGCTTGACTGGCATGCCGGTCAATTACAGATTTTGACGGCCCATTAACAAACTCTGAGAGGCTAAAGTGTAACTTCGCTCGTTCCCAAGTATTTTTGTTCGGATAATTTCTCGAACTAGCAGGTTCACGGGGCTCTTGAATTAACATTTGGGGAAACATGACATTTAGTTGCAAGGGCGGAACGGCAATCTCAGTCATCGCATTTTCCATGACACTAGCCATTTCCATTTCATACATTTTACAACGTATTGCGAAATCACTAGAGGACTCGGCTACTCGTTTTTCGAAGAGTTTCGAGTCAGCTAGGGGATGCGTAGAAATAAGGTCTTGGGATGCCCCCGTCCAAAAGGATACATCGATCCAATGGGGTATTGCATAGCTCCATTCACTAGGGTCTTGTCGGTTATTGGATGATGAATTTTGGAAAGCTCTATCACGAGCCTTGGGCGGAGATAGTGAGCCGTTTATGGATGAATAACTCCCAAATATAGGGGCTGTCTGACGTGGGGTGCTGTCCTCGCTACGAAGAGCTTTGAAATGCAATGCTTCTTGGTGCGTAGCATATCTAGGATTTCTGTATCGAAAAAGGGGTACAGAGTGCAGTGGCATCTTTGGTAAACAAATAAGGTCAATTGCAATGCCGTTACCAACCAGGCTTTCCGTGGTTTTTCGGAGAGTTTCATAATCAACTTCAAAAACTCCAACGCAGGGAGTCACAACAACAATGGATATTCCAGTCCTAACAAGGTCCCGATCAATATAATCATGGGCGAATTGGCTTGATGCGAGATCGATCGCTTCGAGAACATTTCCATGCATGGCAAGGGAAGGCTCGGCCTCAATACGTGTTCCAAGAGTACCTTTATTGGTGGCGGACGAGGGCATCCCCAAGGCCGTAACTAACTCGATCCGATGCATGGAAATGTCTTTGCGGAAGAATTTAAACTCGCGCTTCAACTGATATAGAATCGTTGTCCATTCTCCACTTGCCATTTCACTGACAACAACTCGATAAAAATCCTTGTATGGCTTCTTGCTACCATCAGTCTGCACACCCGTGTGGTAAGCGGTATCGTGGGAGGATCTTGCCAATTCTGAAGCCAGTCCAGTATCGTATTCGACTCTTGTGAATAAGACTATACTGACTAAATGCTTTACTTTGAGCTGTACCCACTTCTTGAACAATGCTGGTAGAAAGCCATTCACCACCTTGTTAAACATAATTTCTCCTGAACCCTCGGAGTCAAAATCCCACATCTCCCGCGACATCTGGATAAAAAGAACGTAGCGCGCCGACTCGCTCCGAAAGATTGGTTTGGTGTTTGTGGAAAAAAATGCAGACTGCACCTTTCGACCACCAATGTAAACGCAAGTAACTTGTGCTTTGATCGTGCCCATGAACAAAATCTTTTGCCCTCTGTAAACGGCCTTGTTCATCATTTCGTCCACAGTCAATCTCCACATGTCTGATCGAGCAAGGTATTCATCTTTAAACGACATCTCGACATGGGATGCAGAGCTGGTGACTGTATCAGTCTGTGAGCCATAATGATTAGCAGTGTATTTGGGGAGGCATGTCTGTGGAACGTACGGTGCAGAGAAGTACACTTGAGCGATGCTTCAAATTGAATACATCGGCGATTAGTTTAGCAAGAGATACCTCCAATCCGGGCTGTTTCAGCTTCAACTCTTTTGGCATGTCTTTTGCGAGGAACAAATAACGTTTGCCGAAGTCCGCATCATGCCTAGAGCTTTTTTCACGATGTCCATGACCAGTCTGATTCCAATCGTACTTTCCAAACCGCCCGGAAGCCGTTGCGCTATCGACACCGGGTTTATTCAACACTGATTTATCTTGAAAATCGCGAAGTCCTAAGTCTGTTTTGAGGGCTACGATAGCCATGAGCTCCCCTGCTTTGACATCTGGAAACAAATCCAGATTGAGAACAACTTCTTCTTTCGATAAAGCTTCATCGTGTGTCCAAAGATTGCAGCGCCTTTCAACAGGAAGTTTTGAAGTTATCGGGTCGTGCTGAATAGTTCCTGTACTTGAGCTCGGAGTGACTGGTCTGCTTGTAAACGCAGTCCCATTTTCGGAGCTCCCATTGCTAACATGGCGAAGGTGAGAGACTCGTTTGGTTCCGCGTCGCGGGGTCAGTGGAAGAAGTGTTGACATTTGAAGACATTAGCTAAATTTGACTCAAAGGAAGCCAATTGCGAGATCTGTATTATTTGTAGATCATTGTTGTCTAATTCAAGCTCGAATGTGCAAAGCATGAATAGCATCGAAGTTGAATCAATTCCATGGAAGAGTGAGGTTTGTAAAGCTAGAAAGTTATCTGTGGCGCAGGTAAACTATTAGCCACATTCAAATAGCTCTTGACGCCACAGCCTTTAATGTTTCGGCGATTATTTATACCGATTATCAAAAATTCGATAAGGCTGTCGAGAAAATTATTCTTGAGAACGAAAAACATTGTCCAGATCTCGGACGATGAAACTTACAATTGAATCTACTAATTCCAGTTCTTAAGCATATAATTCTTGAAAATGGGAAAAAGATCTTCTGAGGTGGTTGAAGATGGTGATCAAGCATACCAGAAGCGCCAGAGGATATCCAATGTCACCAAGACTACTTCTACCTCTGTTGATATACAGTCTGCAAGGCAATTGAAGCAGACCCTAGCTTTTGATCAAGACGCTGGTCGTTCAAAACATGGTATACTGATGCGGTGTCTTGTACTTATATTCAGCTAACAGAAACGCAGGCATACAATCTTTGAAAGCATTTCTCGACAGCTTCTCTGTAGCAGACGCCGATAACTCAGCCCGAATTATCGTTCTCAAAGAGTACCTCGATTCGCAACAACCCGCCGACGATGAGGACAAAACTGACGTCTTTCTGTCTGATATCATGCAGACATGGAGCTTTGCATCCCAGGCCAACGATGAATCCCTTCTCTCTGCCGTTCCGGCTGTATTGGCCTTACTTTTGAGGACTTTATCTAATATACTGGAGATGGCCGAGCATGGTTTGAGGTTAGGTAGAACGATACTTCAGAAACGTCAACTGGAGCTGATTGCTCGAGGTCTCACTTCGAATAAGAGCAAGGAACACGTAATTTCCCCGGTTCTGCGACTCCTCCGAGAACTGTCGACTTACGATGGAGGAGCTTTAGCGAAGCAGGTTTTCCGGTCAAGAGACCACACTTTCAAAACCCTGGCACGAAATCTCAGTCTGAAATACACAGGCGAGGCAGTTGAAGATCGCAGGAAACCTTCCGTGCGGACCAATGCGCTTCGATTCGTTCTGTCTATCATAAAGTTCCTTCCCACGGAAGCGAAACGAGAGCTGCTCAATCAAAGGGACGTTGTTATGGGCTTAACAAGAGACATCAGAGACGACCCTCCATTTGTGATCCGTGATATTCTAGAGACTTTGAAAACAAGTGTCTTACAGGATGATGCTCTGCCCCGAGATGCCAAATCTAAAATAGTGAATGCAACTTCTCTCGGACGAATAGCGGCGCTGTATGTATATGACCAAGAGGATGAAGAAACCAGCAAAGGGAAGAAAGCAGTCCACGAGATTGCACATGATTTTCTTATGCTCGCATGCACATCTCCAAGTCTAGGAGTTCTCAATCGTCAAAATGGGTTCTATCCCAGGGGAATCGATGCCGATGAGGGGCATGATGCTGATACGGACATTGGCCACATTGACCTAGGACTCGATAGTATTGAGTGGATGGAACGCTTCACAGAAAAGGTTCCAGTCCGCAATACCATACTATCTGAGTTTATACAAAATCTTCGGCCTTGGTCGAGCTTAAGACAAAGCGAGCTATTACTGTGTATTCTCGAATCTGCCCCTGAGCTTGTGGCAAGTTACTTTTTCACCAAGAAGTCATTTTCACTTGATCCCAAGCTTACCGCGACGTGGATTGGATACTCCGCTTTTGTATTCTCTACTCTACAGCTTCCGATCCCTCAATATTTCGGGCACCAAGAGCGGTATGCGAGACTACCGCCACCTTCTTCTATTGTGTTGGAGAGTATATTACCTCAACCGCTGACCCAGAAGGTATTCACACGTTGCCTGAACCAACAACATAATCTCATTGCCTTTTTCGCCATACGCATCCTTTCTATTGCTTTCCATAAAATGCGGGAAATGTTGAAAATGTATCAAGAAGCTGCCATAGCCTCATCTTCAATATGGTCCCAGGCTGCTGAGAGGTTGACAGATGAATTCTGTCAGCGTGTTCCTTCGATCAAGGATGTGATTAACACATTTCGAAAGCTGTCTGATACGGAATTGATGCAACGAGAAGCAGTCACTAAGTTGTTAGTTCTGTATTATGAAGTGGTTCCACGGGTTGCATTGGACGCCAAATTTGACGTATCTGAAACCCTCACGAAAGCCTTACAAGCTGTCGAGATCGCCGGGCTATCTAAAGAGGATCGCGCGTTTCACATTATGGAATTGGAAAACCTTTTCCAATTTTCCCATTTTTCGCCCGGCATGCGATGGTTCGTAAAGGTTGAAGGACTTTCAGTTTCTCCATTCATGGCTATGCTGAAGTTGTCCGCGGAAGCACCCTCTGGTGTGCCCTTGCTCAAGCTGAGATCCGTCCTTAGCTCAGTTGTCCAAGAAAATCAAATCTTCCAGACTGAGACTACAGTCTCGGCTCTCGACATATTCATCGCGAGACTCAAAGAAATCGAGGGTACACCTAACGAGAGAGCAATCCATGAATTCCTAGATGACTGTATCTCAAGATGTGCTGCGAAGCCAATTAAGTACATATTTTCGCTCGAGGAACTCACATCAAAACCCCGCGACGCTGAAAAGGAATCATCTGCTGTAAGCTTGCTAATACTTGCTGTTGCCGAACAATGGCCATTTCTTGTCAAGTCTGGAACCGATATTCTCAAAGATGTCGCTGATTTCGTCGCACGATTTCTAGCGGCATTCATAAAGATTGGCGAGGACAAAAAGACGATAAAATTGATCACTAAAAACATGGTCGATGGGACGCCAGAGGACTCACCGGCTCGAAAGATTTTGGACAAATCTCGGAAATTGGTCGATGAGATAGAGATTCCGCTGCCAACGGAATTAGCTGCTGATGGGCTCAATGCCAAAAACACAGAGGACGGGATTTCAGCAACAGAAATAGACGAAGTAAATGACACAATGCTAGAGAGACTGCCCGAGGAAGATCATGGCGCGTTGATCAAGTGGGCGACGAAGGATGTTGAGGAAGTTATTGAAGGCGGTCATGCTGCAGCACTAATCATGCTTCTATCCTCAGAACATTTCAGTGTTCGCAAGGAGGCATTGACCAACATATCGAAAATTGGAGCCAAACTGAAGGAATCTCCATTTGAAGAAAAAGACCAAATTTGGCTCCTTCTTTGCGAACTAGTGGAGACATCGAAGAAGGTTACCGATAGAGAGCCACTGCCCACCATTATTTCATCTTTTGCATCGCATTCCGTGGCTGTCTTGTGCGATCCCCTCCATAGTCTCTATCCTAAAATCAACAAGTTTCTTTCTCAAGGGCCAACATGGCAAGTCGATAAGATACCCTTGATGTATAAGGTTCTTGACGAGTCGCCCAGTCTCGATGATAACCACTACTTGGAGGTCTCTTGGCTTCTTGATGTTATACTTGTTGGTCTTCGAACGCCAACGGATATGGGAATATTCCGAAAACGCAGAGTGTTTGAAAAGTTATTCTCGTTATATAACAATCCATATCTCGCACATGGACTGCAAGAAAAAATCCTCAAATTATTGTTTCGTGCAACAACAATCGAAGGAGGAAGTACTACACTTATCACCAGATTCAGTAGCATGACATGGTTGGAGGTACAAGTTGCTTTGGGTGGAGGTACGCCCTTGAAGGTATTACTGCAAAGGATTGTCGACTCAAGCGATAAGCAGAGAATCGAAGGCTGGAAGAAGGGGGAGAAGGCGCAAGGGACTGAATTATCATAAGAGCAATACTCGTAAAAATTCTATACCGGTGGCTCATAGCTAGTAAAGATCGAGGTGACTGAAGATACCCTAAATATTAAATTTAACCTTATGATCTCCTTTCTTTCCAACATGCTAAACATTACTCACTGCACTGAAATGTAAATATAGTCCTATCCATACATAGAGCACCAGATTCAGTACATGTTATGTCTCGATTTGGCCGTCACTACCTACTCGAGCAGTATATAGACTAAGAATGTATATATACCTTGAGGCTTGAACAACACGAAATTTGCATAGGTACTGTAGCGGTATCAACAATATCTCAATTATCGGCAACTGCGCCCCACCGAGGCTGAAGAACGCTAAGGAACAGCAAACCCGAACGGAACCTGCCTTTGTGTGGTCTATCAACTTCTAACGACTGCGATGAGCAAACGAGCAAAGAACGAACCATAATAAAAACCTCAGCTTCAAACATTCAAAAAACTCAACATAAAACCATATAACATACAAAAAAGATTCAGACACTATCACAAGGATTCAAAGCAGACCTACTGCGCATACTTATTATAGACCCAAAACATCCCTCGAGAACCCCATCTCAAGCTCCTTCCTTGTAACAAATAAATAACCGCGGCCACCGCCTCAAACCTCCTCTCACAACATACTAAATTACAACAATCACGACTGTAGAGCTTTGCGCCTACTTGAGTAGCTGCGCTGAGTTCATCTCAAGACTTTCCGCCCCTTACAACCTACCGCCTCTAATACACAACATACAACACACCCACGCCCACACCCACACCCATTTCCAACTTGCAGACTCTACAACATCATTTGGAACAAAAAATTGTTAGTCACAGCAACAATACCAATTGCTCGTCGCATATAAGCCAAACTTCATAGCAGCTCACAAGACGGTCGGAACAATATAATATAATGCCTCCCAATGCAGGTGGAGGTCGTCCGTATACAAGGGAGGAATTGATATTTCTGCGAGATTCACCACTAGTCGTGAAACCTGCCGGCTTACTGTCTACTGCAGAATGGATGGGGTAGGTTGCAAGAAGCTCTAGCCCTGACACTACTTGTATTGACTATTTCCAGACAAACACCTGATACGAATCGAAACACTTCTACAAAGATATCTGATAGAACTAGAGATCGTGATGCGAATCCGCTTCTAGAACACACAAGTCGACGACCACGAAACAGTGCAAGTATGTCTGCCAATAATCTAATGTCGACCATTCAGTGTTGAGCTTTGTTACTGACATAAGGACAGATCCCGAGAGTATCCAACTTGTGCCCACGAGAACCACCTTCTCGTCAGCCAACCCTGCGCGCAACACAACCAAAGGCATTGATTCCCCAGATCGGCCCGCTCTTCGCGAAAGCGATTCACAAAGCAAACTTAGCTTTCGTACTAAGATCGATGACAGCGATGATCGTCCCCGACGTGACACCCTACGACTTAAGCCTGGTGATGGTGTGGACCCTGAGGGTTGGATGGAGGTAAAACCTCGAAAGAGTTTTGGTACCGAAGGGGCGGAACGTTTCACCGGGCGTATGGGTGGAGACCGACATCGAGAAGAGAAACGATTCAAAGATCGAGAGGAGCGCGATCCGAAGGAACGACCGAGGGGATTCGAAAATTTCTCCCGAGAGAAGGACAAGAATCATGAACAGGACAACAATCGCAGAATTGCAAATGTTAGGGGAAGAACAGAACCTTCTTGGTTTCGAGAAAGTAATGATGGGCCACCAACACCCCGAGAACGAAACCCGAATGCAGAGAAGTTTGAGAATCGACATAAAGGTTGGCGAGAAAAGGAATCCGAGAATCGTGGGGATAGAGGCGATAGAGGCGACCGACGCTGGGGAGACAGGGACAGAGATCATGACGACCATAATCGATCTCTTCCAGAGTGGGCGGCAGAAGACAAAATTGGCCACATTTCTCCACAGGATGACTACCAGAAATCGCAAACATCGACTGGCAACAATAGCCGCAAACATACAGCAGAGGATATGCAGAAATGGAAAGAATCAATGCATTCCAGGAACAAGCCAGCTGGCAACAATACAGCAGTGGAAGAAGTCACGCAGCCTAAAGTTGATGACCATCCTTCTTTATCGGGTATCCAAAAGTCTATTCCTCTCGCACCACTTGATACCGGTACTAATGGAGATGAGTTCTTCCGTTTGTGGGCTACGCCAAAGAATGACACTGGACTCGCTTCAAAATTTGAAGCAAGTACGGAAAGCATGGTAAAATCCGTTGTGTCCGCGCCTGGTGGGAAAACCTCAAGGTTCAACAAATTTTTTAATCAAGATGAGCCTTCGCGCAAAGTTGAACCGCAGACAGCTATTCCAAGACCAGCATCTCACAGAATGGACAATTTGAACAACAATGGTCAATCTCCGGCCGACAAAGAAGCAATGCCAATGATACTTGCAATGCTACAATCGAGTGGAACTCCCCCAGCGAATCCGATGATGCAGCCGAAACCTATTTTACAAGAAAAGCAACCAGGCACACCTTTCGAAGGACGTGATCCTTCGCTGCAACATCTTCCAGACCGTCATGATGAGATGAGATCGAATGCTCAATCATATTCTCATAACCTATATGATCTAAACGCCCAACGTGAATCGTCAGGTAGTCAGCCGACTGTGCGTCCCGAAGAAATGTTGCATCATTTAGTCAATCAGCGTCAACATGCTATCAGTCAGTCCTCTTTCAGAGCTGAACCGCCTCGATCTGCAGAACAAACTGCGTTTCTCATGAGCCTCATGAGGGACGCACAGGCTGCTCCAGAGCCTCAAAGAACGGAGCAGGTTGTTCTTGGCCACCCACCAAGACAGCAGCCTAGTCGTCAGCTACAACATCAACAACAGCTAGAGCGAGAGCAAGAATTACAAGCTCAGCGCGAGCGTGGCAATCCTCAGCGTCGCCCGCCCGGATTCTTTGACGAATCTATTTATCGTGGTGGACCTCCTCAACATGACAACCCTCGACCTCAACCTACACACATTCTTCCACGACCCCCTCCAGGTCTCGAGCAATTACAACAAGTTTGGCCGGGTCAGCCTTCCTCTCAACACCCTCCCCCGCAGCAATTTCGACCAACGGCTCCTCCAGGTCTGGCTGGGAACGTCCCACGTCCTATGCAAATGCCCCAGCAAATACTTCCCCCGGGTTTTCAAATGGCTGGTTCTATGAACAATTTCCCGCCTCCAGAGGCACTAGCGGGTCCTCGAAACATGCCATTTAACCCTGCCTACTTCAATGGCCCACCGCCGGGCTTCCTACCACCTGTTATGACCCAATTCTCAGCGGAAGGTATGCCGGCATTTCCTTTCGATGCTCGTGGGCCACCTCCCCAAGGTGCCTTTAGACGCCAATAATTTATACCTGTTTGGGTAAAAAGGATCTCACAAAGCATAGGTATCTGGTGGTGGGTAACGCCACAGATGGATGGGTATGAAGGAATACAACGGAATTATTGTTGATGGTGATGGTAAATGTATGCATGTAGAGTATCTCTTGACCTTTCAACAATGCCCACCAGGACGGTGTAAGGAGGGGTGCCAGATATTTGTGAGTTGGATGCGTTTGTGCGTTAAAACCAAGCTGTGAGCGAGCGGAGCAAAACCAAATGATTGCGATTTGTCTATCAGATACTGTCGAGCGTGTGCGTGTGCGCCAGTGAATTGCTCGATACCAAGATCTCCTCTTTTAGCTAGCTAGCAAGCATTCTGTTGTGTAGAGGTCTTACCTTTGGTTGCTCTCACGTGAATTGAATGACGATATCAAAGATGTGGAACAACCGAGTGTTGTTTATTTATTTATTATTTCTTGTCAGTGTTGTGTTGTGATGTGATGTGATTTGATTATCAATCATTACCTTTCCTTGCCTTGCCTTGAATCGCTGCGTGATGATGTTGTATGAGGTTGTGATTGTGATTACAAGGTTGTGTTAAAATGTATTGGTGCCGGGTGCTGGGTGTTGGGTGCTGGACGCTGGAGAGTATTAAAATGATGTTAGTGTTAGTGTTTGGGTATTTGTATTGTGTGTTGTAGGTATTGTAGTATGGGTAAGAGATGGTCGAAACTCAATAGAATATACTCGATTGGCTGATGACGGGTGGCTGATGACGGGTAGCTTAATTTCGGATGTGCTAAAACTTTAGGATGGGAAGGAGTCGAGTGGTGTAGATCATTTTGTGGGCTTTTGGGGTTTTCACCTAATTTGATGGATGGTAGGAGGTTAGAGAGGGGGCTTGAGGGGAAGGGGGGTTATTGGAGGTTGGGGGATGTATAGTTGGAGAGTTTGGGCTTAGGGTTATAGGATTATCGGATGGGAATTTGGTTATGGGGGTTTGGTTATGGGTTAATGTTGTTGTGGATGAAAGGTAGATGGGGTGAGGTGAGGTGAGGTGAGGCGGTATTATCTGTTACTCTGTTATGGTTTATCAAAGGATCCGAGTATTTGAGTTATGTTGCTGGTTCGAGTGCTCGAATCGAAGTAGCTTAAGTATGTTGGTGTATGTAATGAGTCCTGGGGTGAGAACTAAGTTGGGATATTAGAACGACTCGAATTATTCAAAACATTCTACTATTTTTATTTGTTATATTGGGGTAGGTTTTGGGGAAGTTGCAATATGCAGATGACTTGAAAGTTAAGCATGTTAGATGTTAGAAGGGATTTCAATATTCAAGGTATATTGAATATCTTAGAAGAGTTGGAATATCCAGAATGAGTTGAAAAGATATATCCAATAACCTTCCAGATTGACACCACGAACGTAGGGACAAGCCATCGATTATCTGTTCTAGGCTAAATTCTAGACCCTTTGGATTAGGACGTCATAAACTAGAATAAAGCTAACTGAATATAGTCTGGGAGAATTAGTAGAGCTAGCGAGGCTCAACTAGTTTACCCGCATCCCCGCATCCGCCATCAAACTAACTCCACGCTTTGCTTGCCTATCACGTTTGATCTACTCAACTAGTATAGAAGCATAATTGAACTTAAGCTATTGCATATTTGGATTGTGGAGGAAGTACGGTAGGCTATGGATATATTGGGAATAGCAAAGGAAAAAGACTTTAGACTTTCGTCTAGCTATTCATATTTAACCAAATCCTCTCTTCCTCAAAGTGTTTGATAATCCAGACTAGCAGACTACAGATGTGACAGCATTCAGTGTTGGACTACTTAAGAAACTTTTAGATTTTTGAATATTTCAAATAGATCTAATCTTTTGTTTGACTTTGATAATACCACAGATGCTCGTATATGGGATACATAAAAGGGGTTCAATAAATAAAAATCTCTCATCATCAGATTGCATTCCAAACTATTGGAAACCTTGAGCTAAGCACTCCCACCATATCTGTCTCTAAAAGAACTCGAACTCTCAATAATTCAGAGAGTAAACGTACATCAACTGATGAATAGCTTGCTCTCTAGTTTTCCATCTACACTCGCAGTACTCAGTAATTAGTCCCCCTTGGTCGTATCCTAGATGTTCCTAACACAGCATTAATGTTGAAGATACTATGAGTACTTACTTCATAGCGTTGATTCAAAGTCAACAATACATATTGTGATAATTAAATTGAGACATTAGAATCATTGTGAATCTATATCAAACAGTGTGTCGTGGGTCTTCCTTTATTATTCTGGAACTAGTGCACAAGCGGCCGCTTCACGAAACAACTGCATCAGTGTTTCTGTTTCCAATATGGACCTGACCCCGCCAAGATCCAAACTCCCTTTCAATCAAACAACCACAAGAATACCGAGTACATACACAATAAAACACTTTGAGCTACTTATTCGATATTGAAGATAGTCATTCGTTATTTTCACTACTTGAAGTACTCGAAAATACCTTGAAAAGGTCTACACCAACAGTTACACACCGCCCATCATGGGGGTGTCCGCCATCGATGAACAGCGCCAGGGTAAGCTGGACTTTGCGAATGTTAGGAAATATGTATAATCTAACATAAGATATAGCTATTCTGGACGCAATAAAATCCATTACTCGAGGCGACGTATGTTTTTCTGTTCTGCGATCGAATATATGCTAAAATGGTTGTAGTGGAAGGTACTGGTTATCGATGAGGCGACCAAGAAGATAGTATTTAGTGTCCTTAAGGAGGATGACATTCTCAATGAGAATATCGCCAGTATGTTGATGTATGCTGGTTAAGAGGGTTCTGCTAAGAATACCGCAGATGTGGAAACGCTCGAAAGCAGGAGGGAGATGAACCCTGGCATGGATGCCATATACCTTATATCACCCGAACCACATGTTGTCGACTGTTTGTTGGCAGACTTCGAACGTCGAAGATATCGTAAATCCTACCTAGTATGGACTGCCCTTCTCGCACCAACGATGCGCCGGCGCATTGACTCCTCTCGGCAAGCACAAGAACAATTGGCTGGCTGGGTAACTTTATCCATAGATTATTACCCCCGCGAATCGCATTTAATAACCTTCAGAGATCCTTGGAGTTTTCCCATTCTATTTCACCCAGCGTGTACCCCTCTGGTCCGCGAACATATGCAACTTCTAGCACAAAAGGTAGGATTTGTTGATTGGCATGAGCTTCATATTTTAGACTGATTTGGTACCTAGATTACTGGAATTTGCGTGTCTCTAGGGGAATCGCCCAAAATACGTTATTACAAGCCTCGGAACCCTACACATGAAGCAGCGGTGCTCTGTTCTCATCTAGCTCGATTTGTCCAGGAGGAGCTCGATGCATACCAACAATATAACCCCAGTTTCCCGCCACCATCTAATAGGCCTCAAGGTGTTCTACTCATCACGGACAGATCAATGGACACATTGGCACCATTATTACACGAATTTACATACCAAGCCATGGCACACGACCTCCTTCCAATCAAAGACCACGAGAAAGTTACATACACAACTATATTGAATGAGGGAACTGCACAAGAAGAAGAGAAAGAAATGGAAATTGGAGAGAAGGATAAGATATGGGTGGAGAACAGGCACCAACATATGAGTAAAACTATCCAAAAATTAATGAGCGATTTCAAAAAGTTTATCGCAGACAATCCCCATTTCGCTAAGCAAGATGCGGAGAATGTCAGTATAAATCAGATCAAGGACATGTTAGCAGGATTACCACAATTTCAGGAGATGAAGGAAGCATACTCATTACATTTGAATATGGCACAAGAATGTATGAATATCTTTCAACACCACGAGCTGCCCGATATTGCGTTGGCGGAGCAAACACTAGTCACAGGACTTGATGAAGATTACCGAAAACCAAAGGAGATGGGTGCACAAGTCATTCGTCTATTAGATAATCCAGCTGTTGCTCCCAAGGAAAGGTTACGGCTTATTATACTTTACACCATATTCCGAGACGGATTGATTACGGAAGATATAGAGCGTCTTCTACATCATTCGGGACTTCCCCTCTCAGAAATGAACGAAATTCTCAATCTAGAATTACTGGGAGTACACACCACAAAGAAACTTACAGACTCAAAAACCAAAGCCATGTCAACCCCATTATTTCCACCAAAACCTATACCGACCGTCATCAACGAAGAGCTTGCTCTGTCTCGATATGAAACCAATCTCCAACGTAGTCTCGAAGAAATCACCAAAGGAACTCTAGATCCGTCTCTTTTCCCTTACACGAAACCTCCCGCTGATCCAACCGAAGAAATGACTCTTCAATCACAAGCTTCACTTCGTAGCGCCAAGCCTACATGGGCTCGTGGCCGTAGCACCACACCTGATAACATGCAAAGAATCGTTGTTTTCATGGCCGGTGGAGCTACTTACTCAGAAGCAAGAGCTTGCTACGAAGTTTCAAAACATTGCAACAAAGATGTATTTTTAGCTACCTCTCATATGCTCAATCCAAACCTGTTCCTGAAGCAAGTCGGGGATTTAACGGCCGGCAGAAAGCAATTAGATTTACCAATCGACAGACCAAAACCAAAAGCACCAGCCTATCTTTTCAAGGCAAACGACCCTCCTCCTCCTCCACCTGTTGTGGCAACACCGAGACCTCAACCAGGACTTGGACTAGGTGGACCAAGTAATGCTCCCGGAGGCGTCAGACCTCCGAGAAGCCCAGGAGCTCCAGGTCCGGTTCCGCCAATGAAGAGTCCAGGGTATGATGGTAAACCGTTGGCTGCTGGAATGCAGCAAATGTCCCTGAATGGTGCAGGAGATGGAGCGGGGCATTCTTCTGGAAAATTGGAAAAGAAGAAGGGTGAGGATGGGAAAGAGAAGAAAAGGAAGATGGGTTTCTTTAGGAGTAAGAAATAGGCGGGGATCATCAAATCATTGGTTTGACTGCTTTATACTTCTTGGGATCTGGTGATTGAGGTGGCTTGTCCTGTTGAACAATGGAGATAAGATCTCGGGGAAGTATCAGGATATTGGCTGGGGAGATTGTGTATATGAAATGATGCCAAGGTCGAAACTCACCACATGCGATGCGCATGGAGGAAATATGGGAGTGAGAGCGATATACTTAGTGAAGAAGTGAAGAACAAACGAAGGATGGAGTCAAAGGATATCATATCAAACATTTGCAGAAATAAACATGGCAGAGATAGTGAAGGTATCATTCATTGATGGTTGGGAAATAGGAGATGAATACAGGATGGATGTACAAGAAAGACGCGTGAACTTTGGCTGGGGGGGGGGGTGGTAAGTAGCATGAGCGTGTAATAAGATAAAAAATTGAATAATTAATTGAATTGAAAGTGTTATGAGTTGATGTGATGGATGGATGGATGGATGGATGTTTACGAGGCGATATTTTGTTATCTTCTTGTTTGGTGGAAGGGAACAAATTGGTTGATTTTGGATTTGGGGATTGAGATTGAGATTGAGATTGATATGTACGAGTATCTGCTCGAGTACATATACATATCAAATAAAAAAGCCTACCAGCAGGAGGAAACACACTTCTAAGAGAGAGAAAGGAGTATAACCGGGACCCAGGGAACAGGGACCCGGGAAGAAACCACAAGATGAGGGAGGGGTTCAGTCTTTAGATTTAGATGGATGTTTAACTTTGGGAATTAAGGAATTAAGGAATGCTTTACTCGAATAGTACTCGAGTATTAGTAGTTCCTGTGCTTTCGATAAGGATTCATAAGCTTAGCTACTTCACAATATAAATTTTGTATTTTTTCAAATTTATAATTCAGATAGAAGTTCATTTTCACGAGGGACAATTAATATTGGATGATATAAGTAAGTATTTTAGGAAATGATCGATTCATAACTGCTACTCATTCAGTACATCGATGCAAGTTCTCCTCTAGCTACTGCTGAATCTGATACTGTTCGTTGTATACCAACCAGTACTCATTTTCGTATTCTCGGTATCGTATCATGTCATCCATCCATAACATAGGCAGTTGTTGCAGTGTTTGTTGAAAGTATAGTTAATTAAAGTAGGAGAAAATGAAAATGAAAATACATAGACCGTTGGCCTGATTCTCATCTTTGATTTGCCACGCTCATAACTCCCAGATACTCCGGATTTATCTCAAAACATACGCACCCTCCGCTACAATAGAATCCATCAGAGTTCCTCCTACGCCCCAGAGATTGCAGATTCCTATGATCCAGAAACAGCAGCAGTTCTTCACGAAGCGTCATCCTCCATGATCTGCAAAGCAACCGCATTCTCCCATCCCCTCAGCGCCACCTCGTTTTCCTCACAGAATCTTCTACAAACTCTCTCAAAAACTCTCGCATTTGATTCCGCCGCGGTCGCCTGATAACCGCCCACATTGTCCAATCTTATAAACAGCCTTGACTGTTCCAGAATCTTTATTTCTACTTGGTTTGCTAATGATGGCATAAGCCAGTAATCAGCACCTTTATGTAAATCTAGTAGTAGATCCAATTTCTTGTCATTGGCTTCAAGATCTTGAGAGGATTCCTCTGGGTCGACGGTCATCTCCGCCCAGTCGATTGGTTCCTCGTACGCCGTGTCGATCAAGATGCGGAGGGAGTGGGCGGACATATCCAATGTGATTTCTTGATCAATAGGCCAACGACCGGAGAGACTTGCCTCACAATAGCTGGATGCACATGCCAGAACGATTCTGTGTGCGTGAAAGCGAATGTTCTCTGCGACGAAAATGATATCTGTCATCTTGTTTCCTTTTCGACAGCTACGAAGACCACTGAGAAGTGATTGCGCAGATTTGGAAGCTGGCAACTCGACGGTAGGGTGGTGGATTGACTTGCAGCCAAGTTCTCTCAACAATTTTTCGTAAGGGCTCAGACGTGGCCGAATGCACTCATATGGGGGTGCATCAGTGGAGCTGATGAGCAAGAGATGTTCAAGCGGCTTCCATGAAGATTGCAAATCTTTGTAAGTAACGCTCATCGGGTCTGTAGTCTCCAGATTAAGCCAGAGTTTGGTTCGATTCAAGCTGCGAGCAAATGAATCGAAGTACTCCTTGCTGCGCACGAGATGGCTCTGAAGGTAATCGTATATTTCGTAAAGATCTGATAGAAAATTGGGGATATCTGCAAGTGAGATGGTCTTTGATATCTCTACCATGTGTTCAAGGTGTTTCCAGACCTCGATCATAAATGGTTCCCCGTGTCTTGGCACCCTGCTCAAAATCTCGGAAGTCGGTTCGAGGACCACAAATGGTGTATTACTCCAGCAAATAGCAGCATATTTGTGAAGAATGACCTCAGCTAGTGGTATTGCTGCGCTGCGTTCCGAAATTCTGTTCATGTTTTCTTGTCGATATGACGGTTCGCGAGAATTATCTTTTCGGACTAAGAAAACCGACTTGGCTGCAAGACATTTCCAATCATGGTGGTCAAATTGATGAGTGGCGGAACTTGGAGCGATCAGTGGCAACAGTATTGTCTTCATTCTCTTGTTCAAGGTGGAAATCGGACTGACTAGTGTTCCGTAGTCACTAGATTGAATCAAAAGCTCCAAAAATCGCAGGCATTCCATGTAGTCGTGAATCTTGAAGCAGCCATTGCTTCCTCGTCGACGAAGGCCAGTATTGAACCATAGCGAGTCATATTCCTTTGCCTTGACACAATCATGGAGGAAATATTTGTTGTTATCCTGGAATGCAGCCTTGAAGATTTCATCATTGTGATCGAAAAGCTCATGGGGTTGGTGCATTTTACCAGTCATATCCGCCGCAAGGGTTAAGGAAGATAACGTTTTGATTAAAGAAGAATCTCGTTTACCTATGGATACAATTCCAGCCAAAGTACTGAGGAATTGTGTATAGACACCTTCATCTGTTGCCTGTAGAGCAGATGGGAAATCCCTTGCTCCAAAACTCTGAATTAACTTTTCAGCTGTAATAGAGATAACTTTCAGTGCCAGTAGGCATCTTTCAGCTCCGCTGTAGCCTATAGCTTCGAAGTCAATGAAATCTGGAAGCGTTTTGCTCCATGGTGCCAAAAGCTGAGGTTGCTTGGTATACATTGCACCTGATGCTGGGATGTATTTTTCGCTTGGGCTCAAAGGCATGTACGCAGGCCAAATCGGCAACAGGATCAAGTAGTCGAGGGCGGACTTGTTACCAGCGTTTACATGCTCTATGACGAGTTCTCGAAGTAGCTATGACTTCAGTCAGTAAAAGCACTATTTTCCAAAAACCTTTGATTATTAAAAATTTACCTTGATAAGATCTACCTGGTTTGATTCAATGGAAGCTTGTCGAGTCGCCAATTGGGTGAACAATGTTTTGATCGAGGCTTTGTCTGGACCCAGGATACGTAGAGCATCGATGAATCTCCCAAAAGCCTTTTGATTGATAAGAGACATCTCAGCAACGGCAGTGGACTTAGGCATGAATTCTGGTCGGAATTTATAGAGACCGGGAATACAACCACACAACTGTTTATGCGATACATCCAATGGATCAATTATAGCAGGCAGATTCCCCAACTCGGATATAGTATAGTATTCCCAGACCCCGTTACAAGTTGCTTTGAACAATGGCAGAGAGCGAAAGCTTTCCGGTTTTGTGGATAAAAGTTCAGTGGCAGACGAGGAAGACTTATTCCAATAGTCCCAGAAGGATTTCAGCCACTTATCCGTCTCCTCATTTGCAACTCTAGAACCTTGAGATTTGATGGACAGGAGTTCCGGGACATGGGATAATGCCAGGTCCACGACATTGAACTTCTTTGTTTTGACGATTCGACCTATGCGGTCGCATGAATCATTCTGGGGTTTCAATACAAGAAGGCTCTTGGCGAAGTCAAAAAGTTTCAATTCTGACTTTGTAACGACGTAATAAGATGGAATATTCGGAAACAGTGGTGACTGGATCCGCGTTAGCTGTCCCAATGTTCCATCCGCGAGAGGTAGCAATCTGCATCCATCTAACTGCTCTAACTCGTCTGTAGAACACTCTCCCACAGGAATTGCTTCATTCAATACGTTACTGATCAAGAGAGGGTCATCAATCATCGCCTCCTGAAGACACTTACTCGCTCTCTTGGACTTGAAGATTTTACGTAACTCGGGACGATCTATAGACTTAGCAACATTTGTCGATTGAATATTGAAAAATATGTGAGCAGGGAAATATGGCGAAAGATTTGGTTGCAGAATTTGCAATACCGGAGCAATTTGCTTCGAAAACGTTGGCTGCATGAAATCAAAGACCGTTTCAGAAATGGTCATATTGGTTGCATCAGAATTTGCAACGCGTCGAGGAAATAGTCTCGCTGAACTGTTCGGAAGTTTCTCCCAGAACGATTTGCATAGCAATTCCAAACGGCTCTCTTTTCGCGGATATCTGTGTGGCCAGAATCGAAATACATCTGTGCCAATTTCTTGGGCCAAACCTTCCAGAAATGCAAAGTAGGCATCTGCCAGCTTCTCTTCCAACAGCCACGCATTCCATTTCGATCCACCGGCCTCAGATGATTCACCCCCAGTGATGAGCGTATTCCTATCACCGGACAGAGAAAAGGTAGCATGTATATGGACTGGCAGATCCGATGCTTCAGGTAAAGGAAGAGTACTGAATATCTTTGGCGTAGGTGTGTTTTGACTGCCCGTTTCTCGGTTACTTTCCGATAGAACCAATGCTGCAATGCCGTATTCTAAATTTTTCCTAAGTCTGGATTGATATTCACCGCTAGGTGTCTCCTCCATCTTTGAATAAATCCACCACTTGTCTTCAATTGCAATGAGGTCCGGACCCATCATCTGTTTGGCAAAAAAGACTGTGTAGTCAGATGTAGACTTCTTTTTCTTCACCGACCAAGAGAGTTCTTCTGAATCAGGTCCCTTGAAAGTGAGCTTTTCAACTCCTTTCAAAAAGAGCAGAGAAATCCGAGCTTCTTTAAAATATAGATTCAAGAGCAAATGAACTGTATTAATCGTTGGAAGTTCTTGCTTTTCTCTCAAAGGTGATGCATGTTTTCTTAATGGAAAACGAAAGATTGTGCCATCATAGTGATCAGAGTCGGCGTCATAGCCCCATAAATTCTGGAACGGAACCAATTGATTTGGATGGAGTTGCTTGAGCTTAGAGAGTAATATCTTCACTCCCGGCTTCCGTGCCTGCCAATTGCTGTTGAAAGGAAGACATGTCTGTAAGGGATCAAGAATCAACAAGTAGTCACCAGACAGCAGACATGGGTTATCTGTAAAGTGAAACATTGTCTGACTTCCCCGACCAAACATGCCGATACTTGATTTGTCTTCTCGTTTGCTGCCGAGACCGACGTTTTTGAATCCGTTGAAGTCGATATCCCGAAATACTGCATCATTATGAACTAGCAGAGCGGGCCCTTGAAGATCTTTCATTTCCTCGGTAAGCAGATTATCAGTTGAGTGGTGTCTAGAATCCAACATCCAGTGGACTGCTGACGCTTTGGCATCATCTGCATTTGCCAGATATTCTTTGAAAGTACTTTCGATAGGATATCGGTCCAAAGTAGTGGATATGCTTGTAGTAATAGCCTCGCACTGATGGAAGTCCTCCTCATCGTCATCATCATCGGCCAGTTGCAGTACTCCTTTCTTCATTCGCTCACTAATTGGCTCTATACGCAACATGTCTGCTGTCTGTTTAGAGATTCGCGAATTGGTAAATCTGACTTTATTGACAATTCTATCAGATAACAGCGCCGCATCGTCATAAGCTATATCCTCCACTGGGCAGAGAACACTATCTCGATCCAGTACTTTCAAGCCTCGCAAAGATGTTCTAGGAAATCTACTGGCAATCGTCATAGTTTCCAACAGAACTTCAATGTCGGAATCTTTGTAAGGATAACCTGACTGTTCAATTTGAGCCTGAACATCAAGGATGTCCTTCACTCCTGGCTTAGACCGGACACCCATCGCTTTCAAAATGTCCGCATGGTTTTTTGCAAATCCGGCATCAATATTTCCTAGGAAGGGACCAAGACGTGTGCAACCAGATAAAAATGCCTTATATGCCGTGACAAACGTGCCCTTATCAGTGAGAACACATCGAAGGTGTTTCAGTTCTTCGGAAACAGCATTGATCCGGAAATTATCTTTGATATAGGTAAGCACAGAGTTGACGACGGCGTCATCGTCTTTGATGATGCCCTCACCAAGTTGGGCAAGTAAGATATCGTCAGGTAAAACCTTATTCCAACCAAGCAAATCTTTCCAATGATAAGACACAGTCAAAGAGACGATGGGAAGTCTATGCCCTGCACGTAGTTTATCTTCAAAACCACGGCATTGATTTGGGCTTACCATGGCTGTAGTTCCATCGGGTAAAGTAGCCGGTAACCATTTGGGATTAAGAAATTGCTTGTTTTTGGTCGCTGTTGCTTTTGACGTGGACCAAGAGCAAGGAGTTCTCAATAGATTGATAGCATGAATGTGAACATCTTCGGTAGAGTGAGTACTACTTGCAAATTTACGGACTCGCTCGTAAACGAATAATTCATCGAGGTTCGTCCTTAATCCGAATTTCTTAAAAATTGAACCATATCGCTCATATTGTTTATCAGCAGGTAGCACTTCCTCATCACTAAAGAACACACTCTTAAGCCACTCATTTCCGGGATCTATTAGAGCAGAAGCGGTAGAGAACTTACTAGTCGAACTCCCGTCAATGCATTGGGTAGGTACAATTGGCAGGTTAGTCATACCCGATTGTGCTTGGGCAGACAAATCATAGTAAGATTGGAGCATTAATTCTGCAGTTTGCGCCTTGGATGATGGTGACCAAGTGCATTTCTGAAGGCCCCTCCAAGCTGGAATAACATGATCTTCCAGCAGTCTGATTTTCGATTTGCACACAAGTTTCTGATAGCCGAGAATTTTTCGGATAGGAGTGGTCTGCGCGTCCAAAAACTGGTAGTCTTTGAATTGGGGTAGAGGAATAGCTCCATCAAGAACCCCAATTGTTGATTTAAAAGCGTCGATGCGTACCCATGTTGTTGTTGGGTACCTTTGAACACTGTCAGTTACTTTCTCAAATTAGTGATAAAAATTGAACATACCAACGGTCTCCGTCAGTTTCCCACGCCAACTCTTGAAAAATGGGAAGTTTCTGCAGGCATAGCATATTGTCATTTGTGTACTTCCATTCATTGTGTTTCTCCAAGGCTCTCGCGACACATTCAATGATGACAATTTTGTCTTTATCAGAGGTATTCTCGATAGCCACGTGGGACTGGCCAAACCATTGCAACAGAAAATGAAAAATCTCGCCGTTACGAACTTGCAATGTTGCACCAGCCTTTGTATTCTTCAACGAAGCCAAAAGAACTTCGTCCAAGCCTGCGGCACCCGGAAGAATTACTGGCGGACTGTAGGCCGTAACATCTTTCCCAAGCCTTTGGACAATATCGCCGAGTAATCCAGGCGGTGGTATGAGGGCGCAGCAGCTGCGGGGTTTGAGTTTTCGATATTTTCCATTTGCAAGAGGGAGCAACCATAAATTGGCAAGGCTGTCATTAAAAATATCCGAATTTCTTTGTATCCAGGTCCAGGTTTTAGCGACAAACGATATTTGATCTATATCCAGAACGGTCATGTCGGCATCAATACCGAGCTTACGGAAAACGAAAGCCAATGAATAATCTCTGAAATCGCTGGCAGAACGATGGCGGATGCGAGGGTGAAATTGCGAGGTTTTCAGTCGCTTTTGTAGATTATGCAAGATCGACTGAGAAAACTGTCCCACATCGAGATTATGTTGTGGCTCGTCAACAAATAATTCTGCCTCAAACTCATCGCGATGCACAAACGCAAGATGATTATGAATTGAACGACATTTGCCATCTTCAAATGGAAACAATGCTAGGTTTTTTCCATACTTGAATGAACCTAGAGTAAGGAGAAGATATTCCAGAATCTGTTGTCTCGTGGCTTGTGGCCAGGAAGTGACCAAGTGGTTTTTATTATCCAGGTATTTGCACAAAGTTCGAGGTTCCAGTTCGAGACCCAAGAAAAGCTGCTTGGCTTCCTCTCTCAATTTATTCGGTAGGTAGACAACTGGAATGCGCGCATTTGCCAGTGCCAACTTGAGATCCTCCGGCTCGTTGCCGCTGGCCAACAGACCGGAATCGGCACTGACGTAGCCATTCGCCGTGTGCCAAACATGTAGACTCTGGTCTCTGACTAAGGAGAGCACGTGGGTGAGCACATCCTTCGATAAATTGTTAGGATCATCTAATTTATGAGGCCAGTACTTGAACGATGGGTCTGGGGGGAACGATAAAGCGAGGTGGCTCAGCAGCTTGGTCCAAGCATGTGGAATCGAGCTGTCAAATAGCCATTGATTCCACTTCGCCGGCAATTGATCTTGAGAACTGTAATCTTGTGATTTGTACAGTCGCGCTCGATCTGGTGAGATATTGAATAAGCCATGAATGAAAGCCGGCTGGTTGATGGGAATGGGTAACGGCATGACAAGAAACAAAGAACCGTGTATGTTTGAACTATCTTCTTCCTGCATGCTTGTCAGTGATGCTCAGTCTGATGGATTGATAGTGACAACAGAAGTTTGCAATATCTGTGTCTTGGGGGGAGGACGTGTGATGAGTTTTGGTCTTTCCATTGAGGGCGATCAAATTGTAATGTTCAAGAACGAGAACTTACCAGCAATGGAATGGCTACCGCAATCCAGGGCACAAGTTTCTGGTTTTTACTCCACTTGCGAATTTCCTCGGTCATTGAGCTACCTTGTATGCTGTGGTGAAGCAGAAAGCGTCTGTGAGTTTTGGCCTGTCGAATCTGATAGCGCACTTCCAGTTCAAAGGTACAATCGAAGGCTTGAGCCGGATTTTCCAGAATACTGACGATTGCATTGTTGACTCGATTTTTGTTGCTGTGAGATAAATTATCGGTAAGATATCGTGTGAAAAATATTAGAGGACTTACTGCTGCACAGATTTTGAATTCATCACTTCGATCTCAATGACTCCAGTCATTGTTGAAATCACACTGATCTTGAGAACGTATTTCATGAACACCAATCCTTCTGTTGAGAAGCTTTCCGTGAAGGTCTCTAGCACCTGAGCCATCTCCGAAACCGTAATACTGCGATCAGATATCCCGCTAGTTCTTGCTTGGTCCGCTGTACGTAAAGGAATCCGAATGATGGTGCCAGAGAAAGGCTGATCTAGCTTTTTGATCAACGACTGATAAACAGCCATGTGAGCTTTGACCTGGGGGTTTTCAGAGTATTTAACAAAGTCGTAACCGTTACCACCACTTGACCAAGCATGGTGAGGGTCCAGAATTTGCAGAAGATGGCCTGATACGATGGATGGGGAGTCTGTCCAGTTATAAACCTGCTTGCTGTCAGCTGCTGGGGAAGGCCAAATCTTCACATCATGCATACAGAATTAAAACCTCTACCAAACTTTCCTGTAGTGGATCCATCTTCCATCTTGAGCGAATTCCCCACTTGTGATAGACTTTGAAAGTGCTCTTTTTTGAATTCAGCATTATTAAAAGCAAGAAGCGCTGGACCCTGATATTGAGCGAGCTTAGGAGGAAGATTTTCTTTTTCATAGCTACTCTCATCAAGAATGAATTTCTGCAATTTGAGTTAGAGGAAAGCTAGGCAAGACTTCTCAGATGAGAAAGGAACATACAACTTCGGATGCCTGGGCATCATCAGCATTTTGCAACAGTTCTCGGAGAACAGAACCTCCAGCAGGATAGTCTCGACATATGTTCTTGAGCGCGTTCAATATTGTTTGTTGCTGGGGCAAGTCGAATTCGGGAGGAATATCCATCCTGGACGTTGTTGCGATACGCAAATTGTTTATTTTTATGAGAATATGCTTGTGAAGAGGAGGTAAGAAGAAGATGACGATGATGAATTGGAGGTGAGAAGAAGAAATGGACAAAGTATGGTTATTGAAAAAGGGAGAAGGAAAAAGGAAGAAGAAAAAGTAGGCAGAAGTATGGTTGTTAAAAAAGGAAGAAGAAAAAGTAGGCAGAAGTATGGTTGTTAAAAAAGGAAGAAGATGAAGGTATCGCCGTCTACACACGAAGAAACTGAACAAAACAAAGGTGGATTATGGAAGAGAGCCGAATCGCACGGAATACAGCGATCAAATTAAAGTGAAAATGTCTACTGATTTAAAAGAAGAGGAAACAATATATTCTTATAATAATGTAAGCCAACAATACAACCGTAAAATACGACAAATACTTATTTGACTCAAGGCAAGGCTGAGCTAAAATCTGCCTCGACAAACATGTTGGTTGTTTCGAAATCTGCAAGCTCCCGAATCTGCAAGCGTCCGGTATCGACTAGGTTCTCCTATTGGATATTCAAATAAACATGGATCTTTGGAAGTAGACATTATTTGGTTATGTGAACTGCCCATCGGGGCGTTCTTGGCCACTTGATGGGACTTTATCAAAGCTTATTCAAAGTTGAATGTGAGTACTCACATTGGCCAGCCTAGAAGTCGAGTGTCCTTTAGATCTCCTAAAACCCTCGACATTGAGATTGCGCGTTGGCTACATGACCATCGAGGGAGCAGTTATGCAGTCGGTCGATCAAGACGAACGAATACCTTGAGTAAGGCCAATCTGCAGCATATAGTTGGTAACCACACTTGAAGTAGACATAGTTGCTATAAGAGTGTCGACTTCCATAGTCAGTTGATTGTACAGAATCTCAATAACAAATCACGAACCTGATACACACGTGACTCAGAATCTACTATAGAAAACGCTTTAGCCATTTATGCTTGCTCAAATTTACAAGCTGAAGGAGCTGTTCACTTATAATCTCCATAATCTAGGAGGCGTATTGAACGGGAACGGTCACTGTGAATTATTTCGCTTTGCGGGGGCCGGGAGCTGGAGATGGAGATGGGGGGTTTATTGTACTCAAGCCGCATATCTTTCATCCACCTCCTAAAAATCGTTCCACATCATCATTCCTATAGAACATTTCCCTCAACTTCTCTCCCTTCCTCCTATCATTTTCATGTAACTTCCTGACCTTCCCAGCATCAAGCTTTTGTATCTTGCACTTCTTTCTAATTTCACCCTCCTTTGGCAGCACTACACCGATACCCAGCTTGTCATCTTTTGGTTTTGTCTTGATTGGAAACTGAATACCTTGACCCGATGCACCAAGACCAAGACGAGAATCGGGATCCCAACCATATGATGAGAGATATGTAAGGCCTTTTCTGTTTCGGTCGACATGTGAAGGAGGGTGGGAGTGTATTAAACATATTTGATGTGCTAAAGAAGCTTCGTGGGGTCGTGGTTTAGTAGAAGATGTGGGATTTGATGTACTTGGTAAGTCGGCCTTATCCTTGTTCACGATCGTCTCAGGACCTGTGGATAGTGGTAGCTTACAGACTCCACATAATGCCGAAACTCCTGAAGGTATAGAGTCCTCTGATGAAATAGTTTCAGGGGCTGGTGAGTCTTTCGGAAGAACAAGTTTAAGATAGAAATCGCTGATAGAATTCGCAGAGCTTGAGGAAGGCGTTGGTTGGACCGTGGAGGATGACGTTGATGGGACAAACTTGACGCGTTTCCTCTTGATACCAGCTCCGAAAACTCTCTGGTCTTGTAATGGGATTTCATAAGTATCTTCGTCTGACATGTTATCCATCCAAGATTGGTAAATGGAGGTCTTGTTGTCAATAGTAGCAAAAATTGATGTCATCGAACAATCGATGTCTTGAAGAAAGCTTCGGAATGTCCCTAGGGCTACTAGGTAGGTAGGTAGATAGGGCTGATTAGCCACAATAACACTTCGCATAGCTTACGCCACAACCGCCACAAAGCAAGCTTCGTCAGCCCCAATTTTTGTCAATCTGAACAAATATGGAATTTTGTATCTCGTTCTTCTCTCGTCTTCTCACCTCATTCATTTTCATTCGAACAATTCATTTGCATATTTCTTTCTTTTTGTCGGGCTTGTTTTTAGATGATCATAATGTCATACTGAGAAACTTATAACAACTTCACCAACAACCCAAATTCTCTACATCCGCAGCTATGCCTGTCGACTTTTTCGCAAATGTAATATGGGGAAAGGTTACCTGGCTTCCTAGTCTTTGGACTGTGATCAAGATAGTCCCGATTGTTTTTGTACTTGTGGTGGTAAAACTTTTCTCTGCGGGAGTGAAAAATACATCGGAGAGGAAGATGCATGGGAAAGTGGTTCTGGTGACAGGAGGGACGTCTGGGATAGGAGCTGCAGCAGTTCTAGATTTAGCAACAAGAGGAGCGCAGATAGTCCTTCTCACACGCCAATCTCCCTCTGATATGTTCCTTGTCGACTACATCGAAGATCTACGAGAGAGGACCGGGAACGAATTGATTTACGCCGAACAAGTCGACCTTTCATCTTTATATAGCATTCGAAAATTCGCTACAAAATGGATCAATAATTCACCACCACGACGACTGGATATGATCGTACTATGTGCTGCTACACTCACTCCCCCTGGCAAGCCTCGTGTCACAACAAAAGAGGGTATTGAAGAGACCTGGATGGTTAATTACTTGGCAAATTTCCACCTTTTGAGCATTCTCAGTCCTGCGATTCGCGCGCAACCACCAGACCGAGATGTGCGAATTATATTTACAACCTGTTCATCTTATATCAAGAGTCCCACTGTTGGAGATGGCAGTGAAGTGATGAAGAAAAAAGATTGGAACCCCTCCGCGGCATATGCCCGGAGTAAGATGGCATCAATGATCTTTGGACAAGCTTTCCAGAAGCACCTCGAGTCGTATAAACGACCCGACGAATCGATCATGAATGCACGAGTGATATTTGTAGATCCGGGATATTGTCGTACACCAGGGTTTAGGAGATGGTTCTCGCGGGGTACATTGTGGGGTTTGGCATTATACGTTATGCTATGGCAAACTGTTTGGCTGCTATTGAAAAGCTCCCAGGGAGGTGCGCAGGGTATCTCCTATGCCGCCATGGAAGCAGCATTGGGAAGAGGACCTGGTGGAAAGCTTATTAAAGAGTGCAGTGAAATAGATTTCGCTACCTCTGATATCAAAGATGACAAGATCGCAAAGAAGCTATGGGAAGGTAGCGAGAAGTTGGTCGAGAGAGTCGAGAGGGAAGAAGCTGTCAAAAGAGCTTTGGAAAAGAAAGAAGAGGCGGTTGATAAGGCAAATGGTGCAAGTGAGAAACCGTCCGACAGCTCTGAGAGTACCGGAAAAGCACCTGAGAATCCAAAAGCAAAATCTCGAAAGCAACGTAAAGCGAAGTGAGGCTGCAGAGAATGGGATATAATATAGCATTGCGCCGGAGTTTTGAATATGATGCTTCTCGTATACCAGACTCAATACTCTCACCTCATCTATCCCAAGTGATGAAACATATCGACCATGCTCATACCCCACAGCAGCCGGACTGCCCACTGATCAGCAGATATTAGTGTGCATCCTCTGAGTCACTTCTTAAGATATATGGAATTACACAATTCTTTCTTATCTCTACAAGGAAGAATCCCATCTTTCAACATATGTCGAAGTGTTTTGTGCACCAAGGGAGCATCGTTCTGATGTAGCGGTAACTCGAATCTGGGACTGATCTACATACCTGCAGCTAAATGTCGTCGGTTTGACATATCGAATGAGAGTTGGTTATTGTCCTGGTTTACTTTGTGTATTGAGAGGTACTGTTTCATCCGAAGCAGAGGAGAGGCGTACAAAGTTTACAAGGTATCAATCGAATGATGTTTTCTGCCTTTTTACGTAGCAATGTCTAACAATAAGCATCGTGATTTGTGTCAAGCTGAAATACTGCAGAATGGCAGCTAGTGGCTAGCAGCAGAGAAAACGTGGGACACATTTCAACTTAGATGGAAGAATTGATGTTGAATGGGGCCTACCATTTTCTACGACATATATTAATCTACAGCAGCCTCAAGGAGGCCATGTCGCCTACTATCCCTATGATAGCAAATGTTCGACTGAAGGGGTCTGGTCTGCAGAAACTACATCCGCGGTTATTGTGGCTCTCACGAATCAAGCACCTCCGCTTACATTACCATTTCTCTTCGGCCGTGTGGGTCTTGCTTGGCAACTGCTTGCTTGCGGGAACATCTGCAAGATGATATCAGAGACTTTGGTGACCGAAAATTTCTGATAAATCATTGTGGGCCTTCGATAAGCTTCATTATCTTGACCAGTCTCTAGCCGAATATTTGAGTCAGGGATAGATCTGAGGCCTCAACTAATTATGTAGAACGTTTGCGAAGGAGTCTTGTAAACTTAAAGGTCAATGTCAAGCTCTTTGAAGATTCATGATTCAGTCTTCCATTTGACTTTCGGTACAGAACGCCCATTCCCGAGTTATTCCACGGAGAAGCTAACATGACTCTGGGCCGGAATTGTGGTCACATGATCACGGCAGATCAGACCATTTCGTATTGATCAGCAGTTAGAACTTCTAAAGGGGAGAGGGCACCGCAATGCCACCGAAACTACCCGGGGCCGGTGAATTCGCCATCCTCCACCAGGAACCACAATGTGGTTGGAGGAATGCGGCACCTCCACAATATGTAATTTTTGAGGGTCTGATATCATACTTCCATATTTACAACCAAATCCATTTGTGCATCAGACTCTACCCGTATTTCTTCTACAGCTTAGGGTCCACAGATGATAAAATTCATCATGACTATCAATGTTTGTTCTATCTTTTATGGACCTTCTTCAATACCGACACGAGGAGAGAAAGTTCTCCCCAGACCCCATATAGTCAGCAGTCTCCCACCTCAAAACCGACATTTCCAATCAAGACAACTTAATCACCCTATACAAAAGTGTTTTTGCAACTATGGGTTTACTCAGTCATACAGGTTTCCTCGGGAGATCAGTGCAAGGCAAGGCTCTTGAGAGTCTTGTCTGTGCAACTGCCGCAAGCGGTTTCTTACTTTTCGGATATGATCGTAAGTTAATGTCTCTAACTGATACCAGATACCCAACCTAATCAGTACATTCAGAGGGTATCATGTCCGGAATCATTACGGAAACTAATTTCCTTGCGCACTTTCCCCAGATGGAACCGCACAATAAATCAGGAGCAATTCAAGCCTTGGTTGTTGCCATCTACGAAATCGGTTGTTTATTTGGATCTATTTTCATCATTGGATTTGGCGACAGACTGGGAAGAAGAAGAGCTGTGTTATTGGGAACTTTGATCATGTTGGTTGGTACTGCAATTCAAGCATCGAGTTTTGGAATAGCTCAATTGATCGTGGGGAGGATCGTTACGGGTGTGGGAAATGGTATGAATACTTCATCGATTCCCGTTTGGCAAAGTGAAATGGCACCACCTAAGATTCGAGGATTTTTGGTTTTGTTCGAAGGTGCCTTGATCGCTGGAGGCAGTAAGTGCTAATTGTTTCGTTTTCCTCCAATTATTATCTAACCGAATATAGTTATGTTATCGTACTGGCTCAACTATGGATTCTTTTTCGTAACCCAATACGGTTCCTTCCAGTGGCGTTTTCCACTTGCGTTCCAAGCGTTCTTTGGAGCTATCCTTCTCGTCGGTATTCTTGCATTACCCGAATCGCCCAAATGGCTACTCAAGAAAGATAAAGACGGACACGCGATTGAGATCCTTTGCCGTCTGCAAAAGTGCGAGAAAGATGACCCGCGTATAGTGAATGAGGTCAGAGAACTTAAGAGAGTAACTGCTATCACCAAGGGAAAGAAGCTCACCTTGAAGGAATTTTATGGAAGTGGTCCCGAGATGAATAGATGGAGAGTTACTATTGCCTCTACTTCGCAACTTTTCCAACAGATTGGAGGTACTAATCTCGTTACATATTACGCAACGTAAGCTCATCCCTCATTATTCACCAATCATCGATTTCATGACTAACCTCAACTCATAGAACCGTTTTCGAGGACTCCCTCGGTTTCTCTCCCGAGCTCGCCCGTCTCCTAACCGCCTGCTACGGAACTCTCTACCTCGCCGCAGCCATCTTCGCCCTCTTCATCGTCGACCATTTCGGCCGCCGCAAAATGATGATCACGGGTGCTCTAGGAATGGGTTTCTCATCCATGGTCATCGGAGTCTGTCTATCCCAAACAACCGAAGATTACAGAGCTCCCGGCTACGTCGCTACCGCTTTCATCTTCATATTTATTGCCTTCTTCGCGATCGGATGGCTTGGGATAACATGGTTATACCCGGCTGAGGTGACACCACTTCGCATCAGAGCCGAAGCCAATGGTCTCTCGACTTCGTTCAACTGGATCGGCAATTATATTGTGGTTCAATTGGCGCCGATTATGATTTATAGCATTAGCTGGAAAACATACTTCGTATTCATGTGTGTCAATTTTGCCTTCGTCCCAGTCATTTGGTACACCTTTGTAGAAACCAAAGGGTACCCTCTCGAAAAGCTCGACGAGATTTTCGAGGAAGCATATGAGAAGGGCGAAAATCCCGTTTGGACCGAAAGACGAATCAGGAAAAATGCAAAGGCATTACGAAATGGTGAAAAGCATGCAGAAGAAGGTGTTGCTACAGGAGTAGACGCTGGGGATGAGAAGATAGGCACTAGAGAAAGTAGGAATGAGAATGTGGTTGCGAGTGCTGGACATCAACATCATGTTCGTGGTGAGAGTGGGAGGACGAGTGGAAGCGATACTATTATTGATCAGAGGGAGGAGATAGAAGAGGAAGTTGATAGGACGGATAGATATCCTTCTGTGGGAAAATGAGGGTCGAATCACTGATTTGAAACTGGCTGTTAATTGCACTTTATGAAATTGGGGAAATGTTTGGCGCTTGGGGCGAGTCTGTGGTATAATATTTGGTGGATGAGGGGAAGAGTTGGATGTGTTTTAATGGGTTTTTTTTGTTATGATATCCACGAGACGTATGAGGTTGATTTTAGATGATAGTTATACAAGTAGATAAAAGGATGGGAATGGAAAGGAATGGAATAGACTGTAGTAAATTGGAATTAAAAGAGTAAACAATTTCGAGTTAATAGATTGTTGCGAGCCTGAGATTTAGTGATGTATATAGATTTTGGACCCAGTGGTCCAGACATACGAGGTTTCCAGAGGGTAAATAGGCACTAACAATGCATTCAGAAGACTCGTCGAGGCAGTCTACTGTATCAGAGAGAGGGAGATACAAGTACACTACCAAAGTTACGAGAGAAGAGAGTAATGCGGACACGAGGAGCTGAACTAGAGGTACCTATTTGGGTGTATCGAAGGATGTAAAGAATTCAATGTCACGGTGTGCAGCTGCAGCTTGAGATGCCGGTCGTGAGCGCAATAACCATCCATTAGATTGAGGAGGGGTTAACAAAGTCTTGATGGTATTTTAAGCGCTACTTCCATTTCGTAAGATTTGCTTGTTCTTGACTATAGTCTATTTCTCAAAAGTCTGGGCAGCTACGATGCCGATATTCACCTTTCTGATCATATGTTAGAGCTTCTTGGGGATCTGAGTCTTGGGATTTTTAAGTTCCGCTTCATGGTATGTTGGCATTTTTCTATCCGAATGAGTTTGTCATGCGATATTGAATAAGTATTCAACTTTCAAATGTAGTCCAAGATGCTCGGAGAGATTGGGATCATAAGCTGATTAGAATGCGGATTTTAGGTAGATGTAGTTTGGAGTATCAGGCCAAACACAACAAATGAGGTAGGACGAGTTAGATCAATGAAGAAGTGTTCTTGTCTAATCTTGAGAATTATAAGGAAACGACATTGCAGATAAATCCCGGTACCGCTAATTGATGATGCAAGTCCCAGCTAGTACTGTAGCGTTCTATTACATATCTCGTTGACTCATGCCATTGTGGGATATAATTGTGACATGTGTATGAACTAAGCATTTGATCTGGAGGGTCTAAAACGGGCACAGCTGTGAGATCTAAGGCCAAAGCCGAGTATCCTTCTTTGAACTTGAGTGTCGAAGTAGTTAGTTACTTCTCAAGGCTTAAGCATGCTAGTTATAGCGGTCCATTCGGAGTTTTTTAGGCAAATTCCTTTTCGGAATATTCGATTATCATGATGAGATGCATGATGATGCATGATTGCTTTTGAAGATCTAAATCACTTAGACAATTCTATTTGTTTGAGTGGTTGAAAGCATTTGAGAGATTCAGTACATTTGAAGAGTCAATAATTCTTAGATATCAAAATCATGATCTTCAGAAACATAGAGAATTGTATCCAAGAAACAGCGATAGACTGCTATAGCTGGATGGTGTCCAACCTATATGCTCCTTCCTTAATCTGGTCATTCCTGAATTTCTCTTTCCTACACAAATCTATGGCCACTAGTACGCCCTTTCTTTCCACTTCTCTTTCCTCCGTTTGTTTACTTGATATAATCAATGTTTGCATTCATTAATTTTTGAAATTTGCAAGTCTTTTACATTATAACACTTTCAATACATTGCATTCATTATGGATATACCAGATCACTCGTTATCCTACGTCGATTTTTTTATCTTTGAGCGAGCAATAAATATCATCAAGAACTCTTGGTGCACTCATTCTGCACCAAATGACTCTCCTAGTAATTCACTCGCCCTAACCAAAATTACCAAAATTATCAAATCTGCCGTCAAGGAGTTCAACAAGTCACGATATAGTAATGAATCAGAGGCTTGGAGGTTCCAACGGATGATCGAAACAGTATGGCAACACACTGGTTCGGCTCATGTCCCTTTATGGTATTCAAATTGCTGATGAATATAAAAGAGCGTAGACAGTTTCCATTCACTAGACATCTGTTCGATACGACTCTTATTAGGGCGAATACATCAACACCTGGACCGGACTTCAGCAAGAGCATTACCCCTATCCCGATTGAACCCCAGGGATTTCATACATATGCCATGGACATATTGAATGCTGCCAAAGCACATAAGGCCGACTGGGATAAAAGACTAGCTCTTTTTGAGCCATATCCAGCCTCTTGGGATGAAGCCAGATCAAAAAGAGATCATTCGAAGGTTTTGCATTCTTCTGGGTCGACCAAAACTCGTTCATCTCGACCTGAAGCATACTCTAGCAACCGGGAAGAGCTAGCTCTAGATCAGCCGCAGTCGATTTCGTTGGGCAAGGATTTCAAGAAAAAGCCCATTACCGGTGGTCGGAATTCTCCACAGCCAGTGTCAAATTTATTTGGCATGGACCCAATGAGTAAAACCACTACAAAGTCTTCGAAGCTCTCAACGTCAAAAGAATTCTATGCAACCCCTCAAAAGCAAGGTTCGGTGATCAAATCTCCAGGAGTGAGTAGTATGTGTATCAACAACAGCAAAAAGAACGGTAACGTCACCAAGGCACCGAGAGGAAGCGTTGATAACACCAAGCCAATCACCTCGCTGAACTCACCGCTATCTCAGCAGAAGAGAAAGATAAGCGAGGAGAGAGCTTATGGAGGGAGTATCACACAGGATGTTAAGAGGCCAAGGGCCTCTTATTCGAGTGACTCGAAGACTTCGAGTAGAGCTGAGAATGGAAATAATGTGTTTCTCGGCATGACTGAAGGAATGAAGATGAACGGGGGGGGGGCAAATAAAAATAGAGACAGGGCTAAAGAAATGAACGGAAATAGAGGAAGGGGTGGAGAAACAGATATAAACAGAGTAAAAACACCTGTTCGTAAGAAGGGAGCTTCACGCCAGCGCAAGGATTATCTCAGTACAGAAATGTATTCGGCGAAACAGAAGAAACGCGAAGCTGAGCATATGGATAAGCTAATAGAGGCGGCGAACAAGCGGTTAGCAATGAAAATGAAAGAGCAGAAATCCCGTGAGATGCAGGGGTATAAAAAGAAGGTGTTTACATAAATGGAGGATAACTTGAAAGATCGAAGCGAAAGTGGAGAAATGGATAGACAAATAGCGAGAAGACCAAGCATACTATCAAGCGCCAATACGTCTGCTTCCTCAATTAGAGCCAAAGAAGATCAAATTCTAAGTCTTATAGCCGATCTTACTAGGATGATGCAGCTCTGCATATTCAATTCTTACACTGTGATATTGAAAGTCAACAGATTTTTTTTTAGAAGAAGTAAAGATACGCAAAGTAATGTACCACCTGCTGTTTCTTCGAGACCTTGGGTAGCAGATGAGGCGAGACAGATGAGAAGGATAAAACAAACACAGGAGCTGAGGAATATGGATGTAGGTCTTTTCTAGTCCACAGAGATCCTTTTCTTTCTCCTCAGATGGAAAAGATTTGGTCAAGGTAGTTCATTTGTCTAGCACATTATTGCTGACTTCCACAGTAAGTACAGTACTTTAAGATTTTGATCAGCGGCTTGATCTGCTGGGTAAACTAGATCTAAGTAAGGCATCTAGACCGTGACATAGTGAGGTTTGCGTTTTGAGCTAGCCTAAGGTTCTGCAAACAATTCCTAGAAGTGTTCTCGAACACCACCCCATTTGTGGGGATATTTATCCATAGATCTGAGACCTTTAAGATACAAAGCCAGAATTATAGTGATTGAGGGCTGAGTTGAGCGGATGAAGTGAGGTTGAGACAAGGGCTGAATTGATTGGCTATTATGAGTTTAACATGGGTCAAGTGCGGTTGGTCGTCTCGACGAACCAATCAAAGCTTGTGCTAGCCAATCGCTATTTTACCCCGCGATATCTCCTAAATCAGACATAACAATACAACCTCAAAGACAGAAGGAAGCGTGACATTACAAAACAGTGCCACTTAGCTTCTGATCGCCTGCGACCCGTTAGTATTGAAAGCTTGTAAGCTTTTGAGAAACTGAGAATAAGCGTGAATCTGTTACCTACATGTAAGTGTTGCACAAAACCAAACACACAACCTTTGATTTTCGCGGACTCTTTTCCGATTAACTTCGTATTTTGTCTTTCGTTGGTAAGCCGCTCTGATATCTCAACCATTCTTGCGCTCTATGAATATTCCATTCTATCAAACGTTATATTATATTCAATAATAAAGTCGTTTACCAGGAAGAGAGAGAACCACCACCAAAAATGGATCACGCAACTTTCATCAAGAAAGCCATCGATGCCTACGAAGACAATTTGAAAGAGATCAATCGAAAGGTATATATCATCCTCCTCAAAGATCTATCAACATGTCTTACAAACTGTAGATCCACGAAAACCCTGAGCTTGGATACAATGAAGTTCTAGCACATGATAACATCACATCTATGCTCAAAGAGCTAGGCTTTTCTGTAACCACGGGCGCTTACGGTATTCCAACCGCTTTCTCTGCTCAATTTGGCAGCGGAGGTCGTCTTGTAACCTACAATGCCGAATACGATGCTTTACCCGACATCGGGCATGCATGTGGGCATAATCTCATTGCCACATCCTCAATCGGAGCATTCCTAGGTCTTGCCTCTGCACTCCAAGAACAGAGAGTTCCCGGTCGAGTGCGACTCTTGGGAACTCCAGCCGAGGAAGGAGGTGGAGGAAAATTGAAGCTCATCGATGCAGGTGCTTACAAAGATGTCGATGCGTGCATGATGGTTCATCCGTATATGAGAGATCCCAGTGATGGGCTTGTGGGTTCTGCATATAGTACGACGCCTGCGAATCACAAGTTTAAGATTCATTATACGGGGAACCCTTCACATGCTGCTATGGCTCCTTGGGAGGGCATCAATGCTCTTGATGCTGTTGTTCTGGCGTATAACGCTATTAATGCATTGAGACAGCAGATTAAACCATATGAAAGAATTAATGTAAGTACAAGGAGCACTTGAGCAATGCATGTACTAACTTCAAAAAAGGGAATAATCGAATCAGGCGGCATAAGACCAAACATCATTACAGCCAGTGCAGGATTGGTATATTATATCAGAAGTGCCACTCTCAAGGAAGCCGATGATCTCAAAGCAAGGACTATGAAATGCTTTGAAGGAGCTGCTATCGCAACAGGTTGCACTGTTGAGTTTGAAGAGTAATTTTTAAATCCCCATTTCACAGATTGCAATGACTCTGACGCAATTCAGAATAAATACGTATGCCGACACAAGACCCAACAAAACAATATGTAGCCAATACGCAGCTGCTATGGCCGATATGCACCATCCCGTTGAATGTGATTTCAAGCATGTTGAAAACACTCCCGGTTCAACAGACATGGGTAAGTTCTTATTCCAATGGCTCCAATAGTGCAGCTATAATTTAGACCTTAAAACTCTCAATATTTGTAAAGTTATGAATCATTGAGCATTTTCCATTCGGACATCTTATCTGAAGCAAACTTGACATACATTCCCAATCCAAGCACCAGACCTATCCACCATCAAATCACACTCCATTCAAACCACCACAAACCTTCCCATCAATCTTATCAATCTCACCCCGCACTAACATTCCCTCCACCCCAGGCAACGTAACCCACGAAGTACCCGGATTCCATGGCTGGTACGGCATCACCTCAACAGCATCAAATCACACTTCCGAATTCACACTCGCAGCCGCCACCCCAGAATCGCACAATATCACTATTGTAACTGCAAAAGCGATGGCGATCGCCGGCTGGAATATTCTTACTGATGATTGTGTTGCGGAGAATGTGAGGAGGGATTTCGAGGATGATAGGGGCTTGAGGAATAAGTTTAGAATTATGGGGTCTATGGGAGGGGTTTGCTGAAATGAATTGAATGGCTTGTTTGGTATGTGTGGTTATGGAGGTGTTGTTTAATATCGATTTGGTTTCGCTGAAGTACTACAAAAGAAAATTTCATATTTCGAGCTACTTATCTCGAGCGTGACAACGAGTTTGTTCTAATCATCAATCTAATTTAGAATTATACTTGCCGGCGACACTATATTAATCACAAGTCAAGATTCAAGAGCCAGACACAAACCCGCATATTTCGATACAGACTTATGTTATAAAGATTAGAAATAACAATACTACTTCCCACTTCTCACTTCCCGCCTCCCTCCTCTCCTGCATACCCCTTGTTCTCGGTACCAGGATCTGATATGTCTGTGTTTCTTATTATTTTCTTCAAACCACTTGGAAGGTATTTGGAATAGAATAGAAAACCGGTGGGTATTTCGAAAAGAATAGAATACTATAAACGAGGATAAGCAAGGATAAGCGAAGATAAATAAAAATAGATATATATAAAATCTTATTAAATTTTGAATTCAATTAAGCTTATAATTTTTTTAATTTTTTAAAAAAAGTTTATAATAAGTCAACTACCCTACTTATGGACC